ACCACCTCGCCGACGGAGGATAAGCCAGCTCGCGTAGCTTTCGACGAGAGTTTGCTACCGGAGGACATCTGGGAGCGCAATCTAGACGAATGCGAGTTCGAAGTCGATCGGATCGCTGATGTGCGAACAGGACGTCGGCCACGCTACAGCGCGCCTTACGTGAATATCTGGTAGTCTGGACGGGCTATGCTGAACCCTCATGGATCGACGAAGCATACCAAAGCTGTGGGGAATACAGAGCAATTTCGAACGTGGACGGACTGGTCGCAGCCGTTTCGAGGCGATCCAGTCACATGAGGCGTAGGCGGTGGAACAGCTGCGGTGGGCTGGCCACGGCGGATAAGCGCGAAGACATCCTCTTTTGTCGGCCCACTGCACTTTATGAATACGACCTCCTTCTCGAAACTAGCATTCATCCTGCAAGTCCTTCTGCAAGTCCTTCTGCAAGACCTTCAGGTTTCGAAAAGGAGGTGGTATTCGTAAAGTGCAGTGGGCCGACAAAAGAGGATCGACCAATCGTAAAGGTCCGATAGGGAGTTAAATTAGGCCAAACGGAAATGATGAGAGCAAAAGTAACTCTATGAATATCTGGAGAGACAAAGAGGGCCATAAACTGGTTATATGAACATGACCTTCTGACTACGGGTTGGCGTTTGAAAGTTGATGCGACTGGGGGGGGGGGGGGCAGGCATGATCTTTCCTGGCAGACGCACGATACCAAGGGCGGGGTGGTCGACAGGAACGTCACGGTAGTGATTACGCCAGCGATCAACCTCGTCTTTGATAGCCAAGGCCTAAAGAAGATTGCCCGGATTAGATCCGTCTTCGATCCCTGGGTACCAAGCTCCGGCCTCACCTTTGCTAGGCAAATAGAGGAAATACAAATCTGAAGGTAGATCGAGGTCACAAAGACCACGAATCATACCAGCTAGGGCTTATGTGTAAACATACGCTCTATCTACCGGAACCGGAAGAAATGTATCTTCGAAGTGATCTAGATAACCGTCCTTGGGTGTGTCGTCGGGAAAAAGGCGACGCTTTGACCTAGAAAGCGTCAGAGTGATCAATGAATGGCCTACTTTAACCTACGTGAAGGAACTGAGACAGTACCTTGGACTTGCAACGTCTTGTGCAAGTACGTTGATAATTACACGGGAAAGATTCACCCGCTGTCGCAGCTTCTGAAGAACGAAGCTGGGTGGATTTGGAATGCATGGTGTCAGCAGGCTTTCAATACAGTCAAACCGGGCTTGACTGAGGCGCCGATCTGGCAGTGGCGGCCAAGATCGCCATTTCCACATCGTGTGTGACGCGCCCAATTTTGCGTTCGGATGCGCGTTAATGCAACACGAGAGGGCTGTGATCGTGTGATCTACGGTCGTGGTCTACACTGACCACGCTTTACTGTGAATGGTAGTCTAGACTCAGCACATCTCGTAACGAATGGTGAGATGGTTATCGCTCTTTGCGGGGTACACCTTTCAGGTTTCGTACAAACCTGGAAAGTTGAATGTGGTGGCCGACGCGTTGTCGCATCGATCTGATTACGCTGTTAAGACAGCCAACGCCAATCGAATCGATGTCGAACGAGTAAGTGTTGCATGGTTGACAGTGATAGACGACGTAAAGAACGCGTATACCAGTGATGCAGACGCCAAACAATTGCTAGGCTATGTCTTAGCACCTTCTGATGCGGCACGTCGGAAGTTGTCGCCACCTCTGCGGGCTCGTGCACACCGATATCGTGTACACGTAGGACTGTTGCTATACAGCGCAGTAGACGACGATGCGATCCGCATCGTCGTACCGAATGATTATGATCTGCGTACGCGAATCATGTACGAGTACCACGATGCCGCTACGGCAGGGCATCCGTGCCGTGAGAAGCCATACACTCTTCTCACGAGGGGCTCTTACTGGAGCCACCAGTACAAGTGGGCGCGCAAGTATGTATGTGCTTGCAAAGTGTGCCAACGCGTGAGGCCTGCTACGTATTCTCAGACTCCATTGCAATCACTACCGACATCGTCGGAGAGCAAATAGTTACATCTATGGACTTTGGTTTTGGGCTTTCGCCAGACAACAAGCGGAGGACTGACGTTGGGGGCTTTGTTGACCGATTCAGCAGGATGGCTCATCTCGCTGCAGTACCGGCGGAAGTGACGGCCCTGCAGACTGCGTGACTGTTTGTTGACATGGTGTTCCGACACCATGGAATGCCGCTCGAAATTGTCGGACCATGACCAACGCTTTAGAACGCGGTTCTGGCAAGAAGTGCTTACACTTCTTGAGCCACAACTGTCGATGTCGACTATTGATCATCTGCAGACGGACGGTCAGATCGAGTGCGTAAATCGCGTACTCGGTGACGTACAGAAGAGCTACGCACATTAAATAAAATCAAAATCTAAAATGTATGAGGCCAGGCAGCGTCCACGGAATAGTCGCAAAGAGCATCTCCACAACAAGCGCGCTATCTATATCGTTAAAGTCGCTATACAGAGGCTGACGCATAACATTTTTTAGATACCGATTTGAAGAGCCGTCGCCAATTTGGAGAGAAGATAAAAATAGAGATGGAGATAGAGTGGTGCGGTGAGGAAATAAATGACCGTATCCTCTCTTAAATATCGATAAAGCGGCATTTGGCGTGGTGCGGTGGAGATGCTGTAATGGGCCTACTGCAAGCCCACTACTTCGGCTTACGCGTGTATGAGGAAGCGTAATATGCGTTTCACTTAGATTAACTATGCTTCCGGCCGAATATATAGATTTACTTAAATAGGAAATCAAAGCCGATTTTCAGCAAAATAGAAAGCTATTTAGTTGCTTTGTTTCGGGTTTGCTCAACCTAATATGCTAAAATGAAAGGTATTTGCCAAGGAATGGTTGCCAGAATCCTACAACTCTAATTGGTTGAAGATGTTGCGTTTCAACCGATGCATGCTCTAAACGCATGTAGACTAAAAGTCTGCCAAGCGGAACCGCTGGTGTGAGATACACCAACGTGGAAAAGCTTCTTCGCAGCCAAGTGGCTACATGTAGTCACTTGCGTGTAACCCTGTTACACCCCACCCCCGCCCGTTAAGCTAAGCCTTCTCGACTTAACACATCATTCAAAGAATATACGAGACCGCCGAAACGTTTAAGAAAACCGAGATCATTTTGCAGTGAGCTCGCCAAGGAAGATGTCCGCGCAAGCGTTTTGTTCGGCAGACTCCGTTACGTCCGAGCCTGCACCTGCACTTCAGTGTCCGCGCAAGCGAACACGCTCACGACGGAAAATAAACGTTCTGTCACTCAATGCCAAACTCTGCATAAGCAGAAGGTCTCGCAAGCTACGACTGACTAGTCGTTATCGTCATGGAGGGACGGTCGTTATGTCTACTGACGGAGACATATCCATTGACTATGGGTCTGGCATTGAAGACGTCCCCATGGAAGACGAGGACTCATCGGCTTCAGCAGTCAACGCGAAGGCGACCGAACCAACGCCCGATCCCCCTGTTGGGTCGCGGCGATGCCGCGGCGACTGCTCAGATCGTTTCGAGCATCCAATGCGCACTTGAATAGGAGCTGAGACGCCTGTTCGACCTCATCGTCGCGATCGAAGAATGGCTCACGCCGCTTCGTCGCCCTCGATCCGTCAAGCTTAGATGGCATGTGCTGCTCGTAAGGCTTCAGCCGTCCTACGTAAAGTGTCGGATGGATACGCATGCTGGACGGTATGTCCAACGTATAGCGTTGCCATGCCGTTCAAGCACTGTGAACTAACCGATGAAGCACTCCCACAGTGGAACGACTGCTTGCCGATGGCAGCGTTTGCCATCAACGACTCGGTACGTGCCTCGGCAGGGCATACACCGTCTTACGTAAATGCCATGCGGCATCCACGCCTTCCAAGCTTGCTCCGAACGGTGAGTACCTCCTTAAGTGGGAGAGAATCTACGGTTGCGTTAAAACAACCGCAGAAGAACACTGATACCGACGTAATATCTGCGGCGACGACGCGAAGACAAGCGTCTCGTTCGGCGAACGGGGTGAGGACCAAGCGCACCGTGTCTGTGCAGGGCACAGGCACAGCGAACAAAAAGACGTCTGACCGGGTGCAGGCAGCGCGCAGAAGGAAGCCGTGCTGAATCGAGCATTCCGTACGAAGTCACTAAACTTTGTCTATCACCGACAAGCGGTAATACGGCTTGGCCAAGACGCAATTGCAGATTTTATAGACAGACAGAAGCTGAACGTAGACAATGTCGGCAGATGAAAAACAAATGAATCAAAGAAGTGCCCTTTAGTTCTGTTAGCTACAAAATACCTGCCACGAACAAGAAACACTGTAAACTTCTAAAGTTATACCGAAGCAATTTACAGGTCAAGATTTTCCAAAAAAAAACATGTGGGATGCTGCACTTCTTTTCATGTGACGGGTCGCACAGCACATTGCACAGAGGAAGTGCGTAAGGGTATTTACTACCCGAGTGAACGTTACTTCACGTGTTCCCGGTCTCAGGGCCGTTCTTAACCGGGGGATCGCGATCCGGAAGACTACCGTCCACACGAGATGGCTACATTTTGCGATCCCAGCCGTTCTTAACGGGATTGCGATCCGTTACCAGTCCAGCATCAAGTTGCCGTATCCAGCCGAAAAACAACATGGCGCGCACCAACCAAAGCAAGGCCGCCACCGCCACTGCAGCTTCAGCAGGCGCCACGGACGCCACGGTGAGCTCGAAGTGGACCGTGACGATAGACCTGGGGTCGCTCAAGCGGCCTATGCGCCCTCCTACGTCGGAGAATTACCACGATTGGAGTCTGGAGCAGCTGAAGTTGGAGTGCACACCCGAAAGCTGAACGTCGCCAAAAACACCAAGAAGGACGATCGCGCCAACATTTTCGAAGCGTGGGACACGAACAAAGATGGTGTGGAATCCTTGCTGCGCCACCAGCGCAAGCGAGCAAAAGGTGAGAGCGACGAAGACAAGCGCACCAAGGGCTGCATGTTCAGATTGCTGAATGTGTTCTTCTCGGATAGGTTCTACGAGGCGCTCCTTGCCACGGGAAATCAACTCTCGCGCGAGGAGATCGACCAAGGGGGCTCATCGTTTTGGACGGACGTTGCGGCAGTGTTTGGTTCCGACACCGGCGAATACAACACTTTGATTTCCAATGACGCTATGTTTGAGGGCATCACCGCGTCATTTAAGATGGTGCATTCAGCTGCGAAGCTGAAGAGAATGTGGAAAGAGGTGAGCAGTAAATTCGCCAAGGCAGAAGCCAAGTCAAAGGTATCTGGGCAAGGCAGTCACCATTTTTGGGACTTCTGTGGAGGTCGCGCAGACGTTTACTATCTGGACCAATGGTGTGAACACCGGCAGGGTGGGCGGGGGTTTTGCTCTGCAAACCTTTACCCGGAAGATGAGGACGACGCCACGAAGGAAGGTCAGGGTGTGACAATGCAGCCCGTGAACCGAAAGCGGCGAAGGAGCTCCCAGTCAGCAGATATTCTTGATCGTGTGAACGAGCTGCTTGACAGTGAGGCGAAGGAGACTGCTGCAATTCAGGAAGACACGTGGAATGAGCAGAAGCTGTTAATTAAAGAGCAGCGGGCGATTCAGAAACTCACTAATCTGTACTCCATGCTTGACCGCAATAACACCTTGACGCAGGATCTCTTGGCGAAGCGTCAGGAATTCATCTCAAAGAGGATCGATGCTTCAGAAATCGAAGAAGCCCTAGCCAATCAACATGCAAAGAAGCAAACACTGGAACGCCACATCAACGAACTTGAGTGCGAAGTCATTCACGGAATCCAGTAGCAGCACTCACGACAACCTCGGAGAGCTCCTAACGAGCTCGGGGACGACGGAGATCGAAGTTTTGAATGTGATGCATGACGACATCACAAAGGATACGTCCCAGCGCATCATGTTGCAAGGTGTCAGTCTCTGTGGTGTTGTCTGTGGGTCGGTACCAGCTTTCTGGTAAACTGTGATACTCGGTAGTAACTGCATGTAGTGACGTAACTGCGCTCTGGTACTTGGTGCGTTCATCAATACAGAAATTGTGCAGCTTCATGCACGGCTTAATTACATTTTCACGTTGACAAAGTCGACCACGAGTGGCCGCTTGAACATCAGCCACTTGTTGACCAACAAGCCGAACGCCATTTCAATCCGAATGCGAAGCTGACTTAAATAAAAGTTGTAGTCTGAGTGTGCCTTGCTCTTGATCTCTAGTTTGTTGAACGGCACCAACAACGAGTCAGAGAGCGGGTACGCGTTGTCCCCGATGATGTAGAACCCTGCTGGCATCTCCATGATTGCTCTGCTTAACTCCCACTTGCTGAAAGCAATAGAGTCTCCGACATTTCCTGGTGAATTGAAGCAGTAGGCCGTGAAGCATGACAGCGAGTCGCAGATTGCTTGGACATTTACGCCATACTTCTGGTAGTGACCCGAGAAGAACGACGAGACATCCGGAACCTCGTTGGTGCTTGGGGCGCGAATATCGCACAGCCACCCGTCGATACAGCCGACGCACCCAGTCAAAATGCTGTCGTTGCTGATGGCCGCGAATCCGTCAGCCAACTCCAACATGCGCTGCCGTGATTCTGTGGGCCCGCGGACTCGCAACTCTGGGCACTTGCAAATGGCGTCCATCACGTTGTGCATAACCTGGTACATCCCAGGAACCGACGTACCGCCAAGACAGCGCGTCATTTGATAGCCACTCCCTGCAAGCCACGCAATTGTCATCTGTAACATGTTCTCGGGTGTCGGGCCTGCTCCGGTTCGACGGCGGGACTGCAGCTCGTCTCGGACTAGCGAAGGCCGAACAAAGGACAGCAAGCGCTCGAAGGACTCCACCTTCATGCGGTAGCAGCGCTAAAATTGGCCCTCCAACAGCAATGTCTGCTTGTGCACATTCCAATTCAACCTGTGACGCACGACACACCCGTCTCGCTCTTCAGGGGCCAGCACAGCAGCAGCGGCTAGCAAGCGGAGACGAAGCTTGCGTCGACGGCGCGAGCCATCGTCTAGAGAACGCTCCATGAACAGCGGTAACTTCATTTCTGTATCCACGATCCCGCGCGATCCAGCCCAGCGCGCGATCCAAGACTCGGATCGTGTGGGGGTACACTGGGTTACACATTCGGAAATAATTGGGATGAAAGTGATTAATCAGAGCTCGACTTTGGGATCGCGATCCCGGTTAAGAACGGCCCTCAGTTGGAACGGTTTGCTACTTGATAGAGTAGATGTAAGACTGATGTATATACAAGTAAGCTTAGCGTGGATACTTTACAAACTAGAGGTTACCTATAGTGGATCAAAGTAGTCATACCTTGCCTAACTCCTAGAGCACCTGGTACCGTTTACCAGGTGTCCACAAGAGTGACATGTCACTCTTTATGCAACCTAGGGTACACTAGATTGTACCCTGTTACATTCATCCCTACTTAAATGAGAATCACCTGATTCTCCAATCACAGCTGGTTATCCAATCAGAAGCGAGAGAATTAAACGACCCAAAGGTGAATTCTCACACTGAGCAGCCACGAAACTGGCGCGGCTCTCAGCCACACCTACAGTGACTTGTGCTCCTAAAGCTAACTGGGATTCGCATCCCTATGCTCACAACTGTGTTGGCCGCAAAGCCTAGACTCAGAGCTGCCTTCGCACTTGCGCTAGCGCGCGTACAGCGCGTTGGCATAGGATGCAATAGCATCCGAACGTGTGACGTTCGCGCCAGAGGACACGATAGTCCTCGCGAACACGTCCGGAGCATGGTGTCTCCCGCGAGGGACGATACCGAGGAGGGCAACATCTGCACTAGAGGGAGTTCTCAGCTCACCTCGGGCCAGGCCTTTGGCTCCAGCAAGAATCCACCTTTGCGGGCGAAGCTTCTGCCACGCTCTCTTCGCGTCTTAGTCATAATACCAACGGCGCGTAGGTGTCCTTCATCGACACTGTGTACCGTGGTGGTACTCAGTCATGGTGCAGTTGTCTCACATCGACACCGTGTACCGTCCGGTACTTACCTTTGGTGCGGTACGCCCACCACAAGGTTGCCATGTTCGACAGCAACAGCTTCTGCTGTGCTGTCGCCTGAACGGATTAATGGCCAGTGCTCACGTCAAGCACGACGGATGTGGAAGCACAGTGTACGACACGTACCACAGCTACCCTAAGTGCTCCGTGCACTTCATGTGTGTCATGCACGACGAGTTTATTACGTGGAACGCCCGGCGGACTGCTCGACAGCAGCCAGTGCCGATGCACGGTACGTGCGTTGACTCACAGCGTATACACCCAAAGCGCATCAGGCTGTGGTATGGTGCATTTGCTTTGCACCCATACCAGTGTCTGTCACAGACACCATGTACCCTAATGGTACGCGACGGTGGTGAGGCACATCTCACCACCATGCCACTGCGGCGTTGGTGTTGGCATTGACATCGAGTACGCACGGGTACCAAACCATGGTGAGGCAAGCAGCTATCACCACGGTATCATGTTCGGCGCGGCACCAGTTACGACTGCATGCGTTGTCTCGGCCACCACCGGGTCAGTTGGGTGTGCACTCGTGCATCACACTCGGGTTATGGCTCCACGGACCATTAAACCCGTCGCGTTGCTTACATCGCGTACCGCAACCGCTTTGTCAGCGTATGAGACGCTCCGTTCACCCTAGTTTTTTTTGACAGGTCGTTCATGACCAAGAGACCTGGGCAGGAATTACACTAGGTCCGCGCTTCGCCTAGTGTGTGGTTGCATGCAACCACAACACTGCTGATTCACTCAGCGATTCCGAGGCACCTAGCGTCAGTAGCTTCCGTCGCCACTCTGTCTTGTTTGGCTGGAGCTGCCGCAGCTCGAGCCTCTCCCCAACTTACGCTTGGGACCATTTGGTCTCTCGTGGCTTGTGATAGCCACTGGAAGCACGAAGCTACCTGCCTCGTGGAAAGTCAAGGAGGAAAGGTATCTCCGAGCCTCTCCCCCACTTAACCTCGAGACTTCTTAGTCTCACGTGGCTTGAGATAGCCACTGGCAGGCACGACGGCTATCAGCCACGTGCACTGCGTCGGCCGTGCCGGCCGAAGCCATCCAGCTTCTGCGTCAGCAGTTTGAGTCTGCGCGACTTGATGTCGAGCGAGTTGCTCATGTCTGGCGAGGCCAAGACAACCTCGCGCCTCGAGCCAATGGCTCTGTGTGCGGAACTATGGCACCCGTATTGGTTGTGGAACTATGTTACCCGCTTGGTTGTGGAACTATGTTACCCACCTTGGTTGCGGAACTCAGTTACCCACACCGGAAGCGCATACAGCGACTTCCTTATTTTTTATGGTCTAAGTGACTTTGCGTGGAACTCTGTTACCACGCTCGGAGCACCAAATGTCGGTCTCCTTAAGCAGCTTCGCTCCTTGCGGAACTTGTTATCCGCAGTGTGGACCTATGTTATCCACCTGGTGAATGCCCTTCGGCACCACCACTGTCAAAGCCCATACGGCGCGACAACCTTCGGTGTTGGAATCGGCTGATGTGGTAGACCCGCACACACACCGGACAAAGTTGGTCACCACAGACCGAATCAGAGGAGTCCGGGCCCTGTCCTCCGAGTCGCTTGAAGCGACGTCGGCCTGAACAATTGTTTTACCCGACCTACGGCGGTTAGCGTGACGTGGCACTTCGTTACCCACCTCGTGTGGCACTGTGTTACCACACAGGAAGCATGGTCAATGTCTTCCTCTTCAGTTATAGTCTGGGCTACCGTTTGGTTTTATGTAAAAAAAAAACACCTGGTAAGCGCTTAGAGGCATAACCACTGTCGAAGCCCGTACAGCGCGACGACCTTCGGTGCTGGACACTGCTGGTGTAGCAGGTCCACACGCCGGGCAAAAGACCCATGCTCGTGGCATTGCCGCACCAGAGCATTGTCTTGCTGTACGCAGAGCTTTCGGCGCGTTAATAGCTCCGTGACGCTTCTGCGTCCTGGCGGTCTGAATAAGACGCCCCAGTCATGACCCACCAACGCTCCGCCATAGACCTGGAATGGTAGGCCCTCTTCAGCCTTGCCACACCAAAGTCCGGGCTGTGCCTTATGTTCGGCACACCCAAATTATTCACGGCAAGTACGGCAAGCGTCGCCGCGGTGCGCGAGTTCATCGAGCGCAAGCGTTCAGGTCCGTTGAGGACTATTGGTACTTCCTTCACCATACCAAAGGCTAGTTCACTAAGGACCAACCCACCTCCACCACTCTGACATATAGAGCAGTCGGGTGTCGCTATGCCAAGCAACGTTCCGACGGCGTATCGACGCCCCAGAACTCATCTAACGGTCAAGGGGTACCGTACCCTCGTACACCAAGTGTACTACCAGCAGCCCATCACTGCCCTTCATCGTTTTGATAGAACCACTTCTCTCGGGGCTAAGTCCCGTGGTGCGCACCCAGTATGAAGCCTTAGCGTTCTTTAGTAGGGCATGCCGCCTCTACTGCTGGCCGTGGAGCCTTCGTC